GTGTTCAGTTCACAATATTCATGATTGTAGTAAATGCACTCGTTGCCAAGAAAATGGGTACTGCGGAGGATGTTTTCTATATCACAAACGAATTTATGTTGAATGGTCTAGTGGAAATAAAGATATCGACAGTCTATTAAATGAATGCAATAATATTAATAATATTAAAGTATTTGAATGGATCCCTTTTGAAAGATTTATCAATGTTGAATATCTTGCAAGAGGTGGTTTTGGTTCAATTTATAAAGCATCCTGGTTGGGCGGTCCATTGGATGGTGGGTATTGGGATCATGAAAAGAATAAATTCAAACGACGAGGAGAAACTGAAGTTGTGTTGAAATCATTACACAATTCAAAGCAAATTACATCCGAGTTTATAAACGAGGTAAATAAACACCTTTAAGTGTAAGCATATGACTTTTTTGATTTTCAATCTAATTCACTTTTTCAAAATTAGATTCAGACTGCTCTAAAGTGCAGGCCCATTGAAAGCTATATTAGATATTATGGAATAACTAAAAACCCAGCTACAAATGAATACTCGACAGTGATGGATTATGCAAAAGATGGCGATCTACGCAAATATATGAATTCCAACTACGAAGCACTGACTTGGCAAAAGAAATTAGAATATTTAAGAGATATTATCGATGATCTGAAAGTAATTCACTATGAGGAATTTGTGCATCGTGACTTTCATCCTGGAAATATATTAATACAGCTTGAAACTGCTCAAGTTGCTGATTTTGGACTTACTAAACCAGCAGGTGTAGAAAAATCTGAACAAACAATTTGCGGAGTACTTCCTTATATGAGTCCAGAGGTATTAAATGGAAAGCTATACACTAAAGCTGCAGATATTTATAGCTTCGGGATGATTACGTACGAGGTTGCTACAGGTGAACGACCATTTGGTGAGCGGAGTCATAGTAATGATCTCGTATTAGACATCTATAATGGAGTACGACCTACGATACCAAATAATGTTCCTAAATCATTCAAGTTTATTATTGAAAAATGTTGGGATCCTATTCCTGAAAACAGACCATCTGCTAAGGAACTTGAAGAGTTTCTCTACTCTATCAGAAGATCTGACGGAGAACTGAATAATTTGCATTTTCAGTACTACGGCTGCTCAGAAACAGATGAAGAAATTGAAGAGTATCTCAAACTAGAAAGGCGAAAATTGCGAAAACTTGATAAGGAGATGAAATTAAAAAAGAGTATTCCTACGAATACGAACAAAAAACAAATACACTCAAACGCAGTTTACACCAGTCGAATCTTTACCACAAAACTGATTTCAATTCCGACTGACACAGGCACTTTCTATTTTTAAATATAAATCATATTAACATTTCATATTAATTAAAGTTTATATCGAATGTTTAGGATTGAAAAGTGTCAGTTTGTTTATTCCAAAAGAAGGTAACATTATATTTAATAATGTTTTTTATTGACTTCATTAGTTCATTGCTATTTTTTCTTTGGATTGCAAAACAGAGATTAACGAGAATGGAGATCTATCGAGTTTCTTTCAAGAACAACAACTTATTCATGATGAAACACTGGTAATATCATGCTCGTTATTAGATGAAACACTTCCAATATCATGTTCGTCATTAGATGAAACTGGTAACTTTACATTTTAAATCATTGAACAAACGTTCGCAACGATAACCTCGTTCTATATGCCAAAATGAATATGTGCTTTGTGCTATTTCAATTAACTAAAACAATTATAGATATTACACATGCTTCAACTCCTCCCGCTAAATCACCGGAACCAACAACGATGACTTCTATTTCACCTTCTCAGCCAAAAATGCCAAAGCAAAGCGCAACACCTAGCAACAATGTTTATGATGCTCAGCATGAGGAAATAGAAGGCTGTAGTATGTAATTCAACTGTTTGTGTAATGTCACTTGTGATCCACAAATTTGATTGGTCATAGATTTTTGTGTGCAAATATAATTTATTATGTGATAGTGTGACAGTATTAATTGAATTATTAATTGAAGTATTGTTGAGGATGTTTTTCTTGTTTTCAGAATGCTGAAAACTAGAAATCGGAATACTAGTAGGTTGTGTACTTGTGTTATTATTATTTTTATTTGTGTTTTTCATAGGGACTGTTGTTTTAGTATTAAAACACATGGGGAAACTGTTATTTTTGTTGTTTTTCATGATTTCATTTGGTTTAATGAGGACGTGTGTGTTTTTGTGTAATATTGGAGTTTTCCAATATTCGGTGAGGTGTATACTCCATTCTTCAAGTGTATTAGGTGAGTTTCCCATTTTTATTTCTGTTTTCTTTTTTAGTTTTTCACTATTTCAGGTATTTGTTTTTCTTTGGGATGAAGCAGTGGTAATGGTAGTCAGTGATAGTAAATGGATATGTATTTGTGTCCAATTTTTGTTATCTGGAGGAGAAGTGTCGAACGACGATTTTATAGTACTAACCATCTGTTCAAATTGCTTTTTGTAGGGTGCTCCTATTTTGTTGTTGTTACCATTGCTATCGTCATTATCTGTTGTTATCGTCCATGGAATACTGGTCATATCCCATTCATTATCTTCTTCAGTTTTCTAATGGTTGCCATCATTGAAGTTAGGTAAGTTATTCCATTCGTTTGTATTTTTATTTGTCTTTCTTTTTATGTTAAATTTATTAATCTGTCCATTTTGTAGTCTGTTTTTCTTTTCAGATAGGTTCCTGGTTGGTCATACTGGTTGGCTAGACCTATCAATCTGAGATTGAACATTTCTTGTCAACGTGTCTAATCTCGTGGATTTTCTCCTCTTTAATTTGTCGATTTTTTGATCTCAATAGTTTCTGATTGGTGACTACCATTGGCTGGTATCATCATTTTTTGTTCTACTTGGGAGTGGATGGATGATGTACTTCTCATGAGAAAGCATCCATTTTTCTCCCTTTATTTTGGAATTTCTGGAGATTTCTTTTGGATCCTCTGATATTTCTAATCACGTAATATCAATTACGTTATTATCAGTATTCGCATTCTTGATTTTTTTTATTTTTATCTTACTTATTCTCGAATTTTCAAAATTTTCATCTTGACGTGATTCTGAAGGCGATCAGTAAGTCAGGATTACAGTTTTCCAGCCTGAATCTGTCATTCTTTTTGACTGAATTCTTCTTCTTTCTTCTTCTAATTCAGCCATAGTAATGGTAATAATTGATTCATCATTACTTTGAATATCCTCTGCTTGTTCTGGGTAGACATTTATGTATTTTCAAATATAATTATTATTGATGAAATCTTCATCTTCTTCATTCAAATCGATGATGACTTTTTCTTGATGATCTGTATATAACTTACAGTTATTATGATTTAAATATAATTTGTTTTTACACTAATGGCAGTTGTATTTGATCAAATTGTGTAATCAGTTTTGGAATCTATTTTTCATTTTATTTTCAAAAGCAATGATTTTTCTGACTTTATTGCAATCATTGCAAGTATAACCAAAATGAGATGAAGTTTTCCAATATCTGGTAAAGCATATATGTGATAATCTAGTTTCTTGTTCTCTATAAGTCCTTCTTGGATGATAAGACTTAAGACGATGATACTCTTGAATTGAGATAAGTGTGACATTATTGTTTTTGTTGAATTATAATTAATAGTTATGTTGTAAGTTATGATTCTTGTTCCAAATGGTGACATAAGATTTAATCAATTCCGTTTAGCTTAGTTTATTGACTTCTCAGTCAGTTGTTAATTAATTTTGAATCACAATTATAGGTTCTAATCTTTGTATAATTTTAGATGATCTCCATTGTATGGGTTCTTAAGAAGCTTTCCATTTATAGTTCTAAGTTGATATGCACCTTTGTCGAATATTTGGTGAATGTAATATGGATCTTTTCATTTTTGTGAAAATTTTTCATAATACCAATGCTGCATTTCCATCCTTTTCATTAAGACTTTATCACTGATAAAGAACTTTTCTGGGTGTTTATCTTGTTGGTAAGATTCTTTTTGTTTTTGTTGAGATTTTTGAATATTTTGTTTGACTAATATTCTATCAATTTATAATTTATCTATTATAGTACAAGCTTTCTTGATTACTTCATTTATTGTTGTTTCTTGTCCATCTTCTAATAGTTGAAATTTGAAATCAATTGGTGTTTTAGCTTGTCTTCCATAAGTAAGATAAAATGGTGTGAACTTTGTTGTGCTTTGTTGCATTGTTCTATATGCAAATAATACTGATGATAAGTAAAAATCCCATTCATTTTGATATAATTGAACAAATTTGGCGATAAATTCACATAATGTTCTATTAAGTCTTTCTACAAGTTCATTTGTTTGTGGGTGATATGGTGCTGAGAGGTGATGTTTGATTTGATAATTTTGGTATAATGTTCTAATTATTTCATTTGCAAATGTAGTGTCTCAGTCTGAAATAATTTCTTTTGAAAAGCCATGTCAACAAATAATATTTTCATATAAGAATGGTACTATAGTTGTGGCAGCAGCATTTGGTATTGTTCTTGCTTCTGTCTATTTGGTTTCATAATCAATAACGACTACTATATATCTATTATTGTTTTTGGTGATTGGTAGAGATCTAATTAAATCAATTCCAATCTTTTCAAATGGTGATTTGGTTTCAATTGGGTATAATGAATTATTCTTTTTCATTTTACTTTTTCGTTAACAAATATCACAAGCTTTAATATAATTTTCAATGTCTAGGTGCATTTTAGGCCAATAATAATTTTGAGAAATTCGATTATAAGTTGCTTCTATTCCAAAATGTCTAGTTATTGCAATAAAATGTTCATTGATCAATACTTCTTTTACTTCCATAGATTTAATTACTTTAAGTGATGTATCAGAATCTTTTTGATTTCTTTTATAAAGTATTTTGTTTTTAATAAGGTAATGAGCTGCCTTATTTTTCAATTTCTTTTGTTCTCTTACTGATGAGTTTTCTGGTAATTGTAATGTATTCAAATAATTAACGAGTTGATAATATTCAATTAAATCCATTGTAACAGGTATGGGTTGTTCAAAATAAGTTATCAAGTTGTGTATTAGCATTGGTTTGTTTTTGAATTAATTAAGTTGTTATTGATCTAGGTTGGTTCTTTTTGGAAGTGGCATGAAAGTGGATCAACATTTGAATGTAAGCATTCTTTACGATGTTCTATATTGTATATGTATTCTCGCAAAGTTATAACCCATCTTGCTAGTCTACCAGATAAATTTGGAGTATTAAATAAGCTTTTCAAAACTCTATGATCAGTAATTATAGTAAATGGAATATTTAATTGAAAATATAGTCTAAAATGTTCTACTGCCCATTTCACTGCTAGATATTCTAATTCAGTTACATGATAATTAACTTTACATTGATCTGTTCTTTGACTGGTGTAAGTAACTACATGTTCTTTGTTATTGTCATCTTTTTGTAATAAAATTGTTCCAAGTCCGAAGCTAGAAGCATCAGTATATAATAGGAATAGTTTGTTGAAATCTGGATTTATTAATATTAATGATAATATTAAGTGTTGTTTAAGTTTTTCAAATGCTTTTTAATATTCTTCAGTCCAGTTAAATGGTTATTCTTTTCTCATTAAATAATGAAGTGATTTAGCTATTTGTGCAAAGTCTTTTACAAATCTTCAGTAATAAGAAGCAAGACCAAGAAAACCTTTTAATACAGTTAAGTTGTGTGATTTTGGAAAGTTTTCAACAGCAGTTATTTTTGCTGGATCTGATTTGATTCCATCTTTGCTAATTACATGTCCAAGAAATACCAAAGAAGTTTTTCCAAAATGACATTTATCGGGTTGTAATTTTAATCTATTTTGTCTTAATTTGTCAAAGACAATTCTTAAATGAAGTAAGTGATCTTCAAATGTTGTCAAGAATACATTTGTATCATCTAAGTATATGATCACAAATTTATTTAACTGATTTTTGAATACTTTGTTCATTAGTCATTGAAAGATTGCCAATGCATTTATCCCTTAAACCATCTAGCATACAAATTTGTATGCTAAAATTTTTTTAGATCTATTTTTGTATAGTTACTACAAATTTTCTTAAGTCTCACCCCTCTTTTTTCTAAGCTAGAATGAAAGCGTGCCACATGATGATCATCTCATGATCTTGTAGTCATGGTATTTTCACATGATCATGACGTATTCTTTGAGTAACCTGATAATCATTTTTCTTTAACGTGATAATCTCTTTCAAAGTATGTCTTCTATAGCTGGATCGAGTACACTGGTTTCAAGTTCAACTTTTATTGAAGATGCAGAGTTATATACCAATAATGAAGAAGAATATATATCACTTTTAACGTTTTGCCAACACTCCTTGAACAATGTAGACTCTGACAATAATGATGACAATAATGACAATAATGAGGACAAAAACATAAATACTGAAAGTGTTCACAAGGGAAAATGTAAATTAACAAAAGTGATACAACAAAAACTATCACCTCCATCTTCCAACTTTGAATATTTTATTCATTCAAAATCTCTGCATCAGGTATCTGTTCGATTACCATCAGATTTGAATGTTGGTGTCTTTAAACCAATCGATTTATTTTTTCTTTTTTTTACGATTACTATACTAGATACAATAGTTGTTAATACAAATTTGTATGCATTAACAAAAGACGCTGGTGCTATTGGTAGACATTAGCAAAATTTAACTCGTAAAGAGTTTATCATTTGGATTGCTCTGGTTATTTATCAAGGACTTTTTAAGCTACCCTCTCTTGATCAATATTGGAATGAAGATACAAGACTTCCTGTTCACCATATTTCAAAACAAATGTCATTGAAACGCTTTGAACAAATTAAAAGGTTTTTACATGTTTCTTCTTCTGCAATAACAATCAAAAATTACTTCGACAAATTAGAACTATTGCTTTCTCACATTCAGAATGTTTCAAAGCATTTTTACACGCCAAATTCCAATGTCTCAGTGGATGAAATAATAATTCAATTTTCTGGCAGAAGCATTCACACTGTGCAGATAAAAAACAAACCAACTCCAGAAGGATTCAAGATTTTATCACTTTGTGATGCGGGATACACCTACACTTTTTTGCCAACCTCATGCATTTCTCCAAATGATGTAAAGAAAATCAATGGTCTTAGTCAAACTGGATGTCTGGTTCTTCACCTTGTTGAGCAACTTCCATATCATCGATTTTCATATAATATATATATGGACAATTATTTTTCGAGTGTTCCTCTTTATCAACATCTTTGGCAAATTGGTATTGGTGCTTGTGGAACTGTTCGAAAAAATGCTTCTGGATTTCCAAAAGAATTGAAAGTGGATAAAAGCATCAAACTTGATTGGGATATTCGTTCTGGTGTCATAATAAATGAAGTATTGGCTGTTTTTTGGCAAGACAATGGGCCTGTTACGATATTATCAATGATTCATGGTCTTGTTGGTGAAGAATGAGAGGTAATGCGAGAGAGACAACGACCAAGAGAAACAAATACTAATGCAACTAAGGTACGCACAGTGTTTGGTTCTGAACCAAAAAAAGAATTAAAAATTCCAAAGATAATTGACAATTACAATCACAATATGAATGGTATGGATGTCGCTGATCAACTGCGATCATACTACAATACACAACAAACAACACGAAGAAATTGGATGCCTCTTTTTTTTTGGTTGCTTGATACTACAATTATTAACACGTATCAGATTATCCGAACTTTAGGATCAACACAAGAACACAAAGAATTTCGTCATGAGCTTGTTTGGGATCTTATCGATTTTGCCAATGATCCTGATAAAGTTCAACTGAGAAATAACTCAGAAAAAGAAACGAAATCAACAAAAGAAATAAAGCGACCAAAAGTAACAAAGCATTTTGAGCTTTCAGATCAATGGTTGATACCTGGAAATCACTTTGCAGAGTGGAGAGAACAACGGGAAGTGTGTCAGTGGTGCGCTTGGCAAGCAAAAAAAAAAGAATTGAATATGAGCTGTAAATCACCAAATCGAAATCAACTATGGTGTGTAGCATGCAATGTACCTTTTTGCTGTAATATGAACTGAAATTGTTTTTTAGAATACCATATCAATAAATAAAGCAATTTATGAGTTACCTGGTTCAAATGCTACAGATTTAGATGCTTGTAAACATTTTAGTTGCGTAAAAAATCATGTATATAAAATATGCTACAGCCACAACATGACACAGTCAAATTTTCATATTACATAACATATGCCAAATTGTGACTGTAAAGTATGCCATGTGGCTCGAGCTTTTGAAATTATCCTAGCTGATTCAAATAAAGCTTTCTATTTTTTTCTAAATTTAGTTTTTTTCAGTTATTTTAGCATATAAATTTGTACGTTAAAAGGGACAGTTTAAGGGATAAGTCCAAATGGCATAACATTAAACTCATATAATCCTTTAGTAATGATGAAAGCTGTCTTTAGTCTATCTTCTGATTTAATTTTGACTTGCCAATATCCAGAGGCTAAATCTAATGTTAAAAAGTATTTGGCTTTTCCAAATGTATCCAGTAAATCATCAATTCTTGGTAATAAAAATTGATTTTTGGTGATAACTTTGTTTAGTTATCGATAGTCTATACAAAATCTAAGCTTTCCACCTTTCTTCTTTACTACTACTAAGGTTGCTTGCCGAAATCTCTTAGTGACTGTCTAAATTCTGTCGAAATTATAATAAACTATTAGTAAATAACC